GACGCCTCCTCGAACCTTCCGAAGGCGGCAGGGGAGCCAGCCGCCTCCGCGCGGGCCGAAGAGGAGGAAGGTGCCGGCGAGCACCCTTTGAAGCTGGCGCTGGGCCGCCGCGGCGGTCCCTCCCTTCCCCTCGGGCACAAAGGCACACGGCGGGTCCATCTCTCCCCGCGAGGGCGTCTCTGCCCAGCCGCCTTCGGGCAGCCTGCGGGGCGCGTACCAGCGGCTCTCCACCGTGCAGCAAGGCCACCCGGCGACGACCAGCATCGGGCGGTCGACCGACGCAACGGCGCGCGGCGTCGCCAGCCCCGTGCCGAGCGCCAGCGAGAGCAGCCCGCCCGCAGAGTCGCCCCACACCACCACCTGCGCCGGGTCAATGCCGAGCGAGGCGGCGTTGCTGCGCACGTACCTCAGGGCCGCGTTGGCAGAGTCGATGCAGCCGCCGAGGCCGCGGCCGTCCTTGCCCGAGGTGAGCGCATACCCGACCGAGATGCCGACCGCGCCGCGCGCGACCATCCAGCCCAAAGTCCCCGCGCCAAACGCCTTGTCGCCGACGAGAAAGGCGCCGGCGTGGAAGTAGAGGATGCACGGCGCGGGCGAGGTTGGAGCGTCGCGCCCGTCGTACACGTCCATCTCGAGGCCTGGCGAGTACTCGATGGTCGCGGTCGGGCGAGGGACGCCTTCGGCCTCCATCTTTTTGCGGGTGGACCGCCCCCACATCGCGTTGGCGAGACGGACGAGCGGGCGCGTCGCGAGGATGCCCTCGAGCGCCGAGCCGCCAAAGAGAGGGTAGTAGAGGCCAAGCGAGACGACCACTAGCGCCGCGAGGAGCGCTAGCCAGACCCACGAATACATCGGACTGCTGCACGAGTTGTCGGGGGTGCACTTTTTGGAAAGAGAATTCGGCCCCTGTTCACAGCTAGGGACGGCCTCTGCGGCAAAGTCAAACAACCCCACCGTCCCACCTACCTACCTACCACCTACCGCTGCACACCACCGCCGCCGCCGCTCACCGCCGCCGCCCTCCACCTCGCCCACGCCTCCGCCGCCCTCCACCTCCCCCACACCGCCGCCGTTGCCGCTCACGACGCCGCCGCCCTCCACCTCGCCCGCGCCTCCACCGCCCTCCACCTCCCCCACACCGCCGCCGCCGCCGCTCACGCCGCCGGCCGCCCTCCACCTCACCCACGCCGCCGCCACCCTCCACCTCCCCCACACCGCCGCCGCCGCCACTCAGGCCGCCGCCGCCCCGCGCCTCCGCCGCCCTCCACCTCTCCCACACCGCCGCCGCCGCCGCTCACGCCGCCGCCCTCCACCTCACCCACGCCGCCGCCACCCTCCACCTCCCCCACACCGCCGCCGCCGCCACTCAGGCCGCCGCCACTCAGGCCGCCGCCGCCTCCCCCATACCGCCCCCGCCGCCGGTCGCATCGGCCCCGCCCTGCACCTCGCCCACGCCTCCGCCTCCCTCCACCTCCCCACACCAC